GTTACAGGCAAAGTCTGCAGTTGCCATTTTTAGCTTGCAGAGATAATATTTTTGCGGCTGTATACATTTCTATGTGCTGTAACTCTATTTACTTTAGCAGAAGAGCYGGTAAGATTGACAAGTGAAGCAACATATTCATATTATCTTGCAAATGTGTTAATGACTATATAGGCTATAGGTCCCTGTGGAAATAAGAAAAGGCATTCTTTTAATAAACAATGGAGTGCATCCAGTTTTTCTTCCTACTTAAGTTATTTCCAGCACATTCACTAAAATGCTACCAGATTCAATAATATTTGTCTCTTTCTTGGCTTCTTATATACATAACTTTCTTCCATGACAACAAGTCCAAGATTTTTTGGAGCCAAAGCAGGAATGATKATGTGTTTTTGTTGTTGTTGTTCTTCTAACCAGCTGTCTCTGCTCATCTTGCTGTCACTGGGAGAAGACATCTGCTTAGTACATTCAATATTTTCACTTTGATTCTCAACAGGGAGGTCACAGCCCATGCGAAAATGTCCCCCAAAATATTTGTTACCACAAACATTTCTTTTAAGACTGGGGTGCTTTGTTTATTCAGCACAGACTCCATAAAGTATTTAACTGATTCCCTTACTGTAAAGCAAATTATTTCAGTGCTAAAATCTAGACATGAGACATTTACTGTTAGTCAGATACTATGCAAGATACCAGATGGTGTAAAATACAAAGTCTAGTGGCTTCTGCTTTAATTTTATCACATCATTCTGATGAGATACTAGAAGTTTGCTTTTTCCTTCCCATTGAGACCCAGAGAGTGAGGATTGTTTACAAAATTATCCAACTTCTTTACCAATTCTTTGTGTCAATTTAATCAAAATTAATTAGAAAAAAAGGAGTAGTGCTAGTAATGGTTTGGATGTGGCGAAATGCTTCAGGCAGCTCTTTCTTCTAGGCACGAGCAAGTCTCCTAACTCATTAACCAGAGATCCAGTCTAGCAAAACACTACAATCCTTAAATCCACCCCGTTCAATGGAACGCTTAAACCTAAGCTAAAATCTCTCTGGGCTCAAATTTGATTTAAGCATGTCCTTAAAACGAAGTATGCTGCACTAGCACACTGCTTAACTATACTCCTCAGCACTGGAATTCAGCASTTTTACAAAGCTTTACCACTGCTGAGGCACAGGCTGCTCTGGCCCAGACAGGGATGGAGCAGAGCAGGGAGAGAGCCTGAAAGCTGTGCAGGGAGGTTTATAATTTCCTGACCTACCCCAAACTCACCGTGGACAACAGTGATATGATATGGAATTAGACAGGACTGATGGCCAGGTGAAACTGAGCACCTTCGAGATGTGCACAGAAATGGAGGCTTTGATGGTGGTCGTTATCTCTGATAACCCTCACAGAAAAGTGGGGAGTTTGTTGGAAATTTTATATCTGGTCAGTGAGGATTCCCTTGGGGTTTTGGCCCAGTCTCAATTGTTGTCAGAGATATGAGATTCACTAAAGTCTGCTCAGTACCATGTCCTGCATTCCCATCTGGGTGCAAAYTTACCGGCAAAGTGGAGAGTGACAAAGCTTGGGCGCTGCTGTTCCCAGATTCCTTCCACCAGGCAGCACCCACGTGTATCTCTCCATCAGAAACAAGCACCCTGTTTGGAAGCCAATTCAGGCTTGCAGGATGAGTCTCTTCTCTCCTGTCTGCCCAGTATCCATGCTGGTGTTTCCTCATTCCTTCCCCAGTGCCGCAGGAATGCTATTGCTGTGAGCTCAGATTTTGCAYGTGCTTCCAAGAATACGCTTTGGAGACTGAAGGAAGGGTCAAGTGTGACACCACACGTCTCGGTGGAAACAGGCATCCTCCTGGCAGGGCAGGTGAAAAGTGCTGTGGTTTGGGGAAGAGGAGTCTCCAGTTGATCCAACACTAATTGCATCTGATCTTTGTCTGTAAATTAGGWGGCAGCTCTCCCAAAAACACATGCTTAGTGTGTTTTCCAGCCTCTTTGGCCTTCACCCACGGAAGAATTAGTTCACCAGGTGCGCGACTTTCCTGTTGTTCTGGAATTGTTGCTAGCCAGGGAATATGTCAGATCCCCACAACTTCATCTGATCAAGAGCTGAGTTGCAGCAAAAGTGGCTGGGTTAGAGATAAAGCAAACTTATCCAACTATGAAGCTCTGGAATGGAGCTTCTAGATATTCTTATAAACAGGGCAGGTGAACCCCTGTCAGGTATGGTTTAGCCAGTACTGCTCCTGCTTTGTGGCCTGAGAGATGGAATTCCTGTGGTTTCCCAAAGGCTCTTCCTATCCTGAGTTTTTTTTGTTTTGTGATTTTTGCATCTGAAATCTCACCGAAAAGGAGAGAMCCAAACTCTGAAAAGCAGGGTCTCACCTGCTGACTTCTGGAAACTTTGCACAGAATGGGGTCTGATAGGAGGTCATGGTGTGTCATTCCCTGCTCTAAACCTCGTGCTGTGGGTTTATAAGGGCTCCTCCAGACATAGAAAGGTGAACTGACTGGTCTAAAGTAGCTCTAACAACACAGGGAAAGTAGGAGCAGAAGCCAAGTTTCCAATCTCCTAGGCATGCACCTTAAACACTAAAAAGCTTAATTTCCTTGAATTAATACTGGCCCAGGCTGACTCCTGTATTCCTGCCTCCTGACTGGCCTATGCAATGTCAGGCATTTCATTCTTTTGCTGTTTAATTCATTTTGCTGCTATGGTGCAGGGTGCGGTAGATATTACCAAAGGAATGATTGTATGTTTGCCAGTATTTTTGATTCTTTCCAGGCAAAGAGCAGATTTTCACAGCCAGGCTCAACACCTTGAGTTTTCTACTTTCATTTCCAAAGTGTATGATATTGGTCATGATAGGAAATTGAAAAAACCCAGAAAATTCATGCTGTGTTTGACAAGGCAGTGACCATTCTGGGCAGCACCTTACAAGGGTAATGGGCTGCAAATCAAACTTCTGCYGCTGTGCTGCTGAGGATTAGTCACAGTTCATCTACCAGCAAAATGGAGGTAGTGGTAGTTACTATCTCAAACTCCAGAGGCTCAAAGATTAAAACTTYTGGGATCATTCAAAAGAGGCTGCTGTGGATGGGCATAGTATTCTATCTTCTGTTAACAGCACTGGAAAATTTCATAAGCTTGATGGATAAAGAAGCAATAATTKTTGGATATGGGACAAGGAAAATATTTGACCACTGGTTTTCTCTGAAATACCAAATGGAGAACACTTGTCTCTCATCTCCAGCCAAAGGGTATTTTTTTTAGTGTTCATATACTTCCCTTAGATCCCAGTTGAGAAAACACAAGGACTGTTGCAGATCGGCATGAAAATTCGAACAGAGAAGAAAAAAAAAACAAAACAGGCAACAGTTTCTGCGTATATCTGCTGTTGAGAGCTCCACCACACTGAGGTTGACAGACACGGTGAKGTTGACAGACATGAGTGCCAGGAAGCCTCTGGTGATAACCACCTGCTCCTGGTGGAAGAAAATCCCATKGTGAGCTGTCCTCGGAGTGCAATGCAGGAACATGACCGCGCAGCCCGGTGGTCAAAGCACTCAGCTGGAAGGAGACAGGTGAACTGTAGGCTCTGCAGGGAGGGTACTGAACCTGAGTTTCCAGGGCCTCGGGCGAAGGCTTTGGTTGCTCATCTTGAGCTGCTGCTCCGGTCTCATCCATGTGGAAATCAGCTGTGCCCGTGTCTTTCACAAGAGGCCACGTTCACAGAGCCCTGCTGGCTCTCTAGGTAACAYCTATGGCACAGGGCCCTGGTGACTCATGAGCTGTTCAGCTTTGGTTTAGGATCTCAGMAGGCTTTAGACACAGGTAGGTGGTTAGGACAAGGCTGGGGCATTTCTACTCATAGTCCTTAAAAAACACCTGTGGCTGTGACTATTCACACAGATTTAGCATCARTGCTTCTAAGGAGAGAATCTAGCCCTGGCAGGCCTCTCTGTTCCTGGGGGGAATTTAGCACCCTGGAACACGTGGCCAGTGCAGGACAYCAAATCAACCCCAGATGGGGGGTTTGCACTGAGGACTAAATTTGGGATAWGTCATGCTTTCCCTTCTGAGGGGTCTGCCAGGCTGGCGTGAAATCTCTTGGGGTCTCTGATTGGGAAACACACTGGCTGCAGCAACCAGGGAAGGTGGAGACAGGCTGAATCACAGTTCCCTGCTACAGCTTCTTAAGTCTTTTAGGCACTTACTGTCCTTTTTTTTATGTCCAAAGGAGCAATCTTTCCCTCCTGGGGCTRTCAAGCACTGACTGTGGACATTAAAGCTGGTAATGGGATAAGAGTGTAAACATCTTTTGAAAGCACACACCAGAGCCCTTTATTTTAAAAATGAAATACATTTGAAGCGCCTAAAAACTCACCCCAGAAATCTCTTTCCAAATGAGTAAGGCTTGGCAACGCTCCCCTCCACAGCCTGAACAAAATGTAACCCTTCTGTCTTCCCATTCTCTTCAGGGCAGATGCACATACCGAACAGCTACTTAAAGGGTAACATTCCATTATAAAAACAATCACACTCAACACCTCAATTTATTTAATTGCAGTCCTTAGAAATAGCCACAAAACAATCAAACAGAAAGCAATCAGAAMATAGTTTCCCTTCCCCCTCTCCTCAGTATTCTCGACAAGTTTTATTTTGAATCTGTGAACAGGCAGCTCCTTTGGAACTCCCCGCACCTTTTACCTCCCTTCACCTTGTTCTTCRCCCCAGCTGCAAAAGAACAGATTAGAGGGTGGCTGGAGAAGCACCCAAAAGAGTCCCGGACAAAACTTCCGTGTTAAAAGTTGTATCCTGGAAGGCACAGGGTGCATTTCTGGGCCTAAGGCTCCCCTGGCTCTTGGATGCAGAGCAGGAAGGTGATGCTCACAGGGTCGGAGCCGCCTCCAGCCCCGTTTCCCCCCCGCCCAGGTACCGGGAGCCGCCGCCGCCCGCCCCCCCTGCGCAGCGCAGCCCCCTCCCGCCGTGCGGCCGTCCCGGCCCCGGCCCCGGCCCCAGCCCTTACATGGACAAATCTGCCTGCAGGGAAAGGCAGGAATTTGGGCCCTTGACGTCAGCCGCGGGCAGAGCGCGGCAGCCCGGCAGAGCAGGAGGCAGCGGCCGCCGCTTTCGCTTTTAGTTTCGGGGCCGTCCCGCCGCGCTCCGGGCCGCCGGCCGCCCCTCCCTGCGCCCCAGCAGAGGTGAGGGCCGGGGGGGCGCGGACGGATGGATGCGGGCGGCGGGAGCGCCGCGGCCGGGGGGATGCGGAGGGGCTGACGGACCGGAGGGAGGGATGGATGGAGGGATGGATGTGCGGGGCGGAGCGCGGGAGGGGCGGCTCGGGGGAAGCGGCGGGCG